AATATAATCTCATAGAAGTATTAATTAAACTCTTGCAATTCCATTCAAAATATCCAAAACAAGTTCTGAAAATCTTCCAAAATCCAGAAATTTAAACGCATATATACATACAAAAAGCCATAAGCTAAATTAAAGTCGACGAATCAAGTGCACTTCGAATAAAGCTTTTATCAAAAAAGCTCAAGATCATCGCAAATTACCAGACAAGCTTCAAGCAGCTCCTTTCAAAGCTTTCTTCAACTCCTCTGCAACATCACCTTCTTCTTTGCTTTTCTTCCCGCCGTAATCCGACGACGTCGTCCTCTCGCTGCTCCACCGATCCCCTCTCGATCTCCCATTGTTGTTCCTCTCTGATTCACGGTACTTTGAGTGAGCTCCGTAATCAATCGTCGCCGGAGAAAATTGATTACGGCCGCTTGAAATTGCTTCCCGGAGATCATCGACGGCTCTCTTCAACTGTTTATTCTCCGTCCGAAGCTCCTCCATCTGCCGATTCACGGCCAAACAAACCTCCGCCACGTCACCACGACCCGGATCCGAAACTTTACCCGGATCATTCGCTGATTTAGTCAATTTAGCATCTGAGCCGTCCACGTGTTCGATTCCGATTTTATTCATCACGAGAAAAGGGAATCTCCTCAGAGAAATCGCAGCCGTTGGATCGAAATCGCGTCTTATCTCCGTAGGCACCCTAACGCCCCACCGGAAATTCACGACGGCTCGTCCTCTCACAGGCAAAGACGTCCTCGCCGCAACCTCGACACCGGAAAGCAAACCAGCGATGTCTCCGGCTGAAGTCGACGGAAGAACCGTGACTTTCCTAAATCCTCCGCCGCATCCATTGACCGCCGGAGAATCCACAACCTCGATCGACGAATCCTCTTCAGAAACAGATCCGTTAACCGATTTGATCAGATTCCCGTCGAATCCAGAAGACGAGTGAGACTTTTTGATTGAGAAATCGCCGAATTGGGGTTTGAAGTGAAGCATAAAGCTAGGGTTTCCTTTACCAAGGAGGTTGAATTCAGCGCTCATGAGCATGGAGCTTGAGATCGGAGAACCGAAAGATCCAGTACCGGTTTTGACGATTAGAGAGAAAGGGTTCCAGGAATCGTTTGGACGGTAAGCGACTTTGAGANAAGGACCAGATTCGAAGAAAGTAGAGAGATTGAGGCTAAGCTCTTTAGATTCTCCGGCGACGATTCCTGATTGAAACGGTAAACCTAAGATACTCAGAGGAACTTTAGCCCTGAAAAGTGGTTTCTGCTCCTCACGAAACTTCATCGACGCCTTCATCTTCTTCGATGATTATGATCAAATTTTGGAACAAGTTAGAGAGTGCAGTGATCGAGTAGGAAGGATTTACCCGAGTTTAAAGAGACACTTTTTTCTAATAGTTTAAAGGAAATTTTCCATTTTTTCTTTTTGTTAAAGAGTTTAGGAATTTTGCTATCTTCGCGAAATATTCAAGTTGGACCTGAGGATAGAGGAGGTGAAGGATTTTTTGACGTTTTTACCCTCGTGTTATATAAAGAATAACGGTTATTGACCAGTGGTTCAGAGCTGTAATTGTGTGGAAGTTCAAAGGCGAGAAGATAAGGTGAGTGAATTGCTTAAAATGAAAGGTAGACAAA